ACTCTAACCGAGATCAACAAAATTGGGCATCTAATTCCTCCGCTGCCTGCTTAGAGAATGTACTCAGAATGAAGTTAAATCACTACCGTCGACCTATACATCTGCGTCAACTGACTTGTAAAACAAAACAGCTTCGAAGAACGATTCTTAACCTAATTCTCACAGCGTATACAAACGAAAGAAAAGTCGGATCCAAATAAGACTGAAGACTTCTAATACATTTCTAGAGTAAACAGTAGTGACTGATATTTAAAGATGAGAACGACCAAATAGCGAATATACAGCTTTGAAAATAGTGATAGTGAATGAAAATAGTACTACTAGTTCTCTATTATTTTTGCATAGAGAAAAAAAAGTAATCTGCAGGATGATGTTTTGATTCATGTTATATGTATTCGTATATATTGCAAAGTTCATGCCATAGTATATTTCTTCCTTTGATGTTGATCGAGCAAGAGTGGGAGCAATAGAGAAAGCGAATAGCTGACAATATCGAATCATGTCATGTCATACGGGGTCAGTGAAAACGTGAGTGACACGTGTACTGTTGTATATAACATAACTGATTTAACAACCGTGTTCATTCTGTTACTCATTCCTTTTGTAAAGCATAGGTAAGAAATACTTTCTAAAAGATGGATAATGAGGCAATATGAATGCACATAAAACATATTCTATCAACTGAAATAGTATGTATATACTAAATCTCACACCAATGTTAGCTCTTCGAAAAAAGTGTAAAATAAATCCAGTGGGAACGTAGTCGTATTAAGAGAGGCTTCACTAGTCAGTCGAGCATTGCTTCCGAAACCAGTGGAATGATCGAAGTTAACAAATATATTTTTTAATGTTTTTGGATTCTACGATCAAAAGTGGAGCTGTGAAAAAAGTTTTGGTCTCTTTGGACTTAATTTGACCGAGTTATAGCATTTATAAAATGGTCGGTGTCTGGGAGTCTTGAAAAAGCATCCTGTTTACAATTTTCGCTGCAACTTCATCATTTTTCATCCCTTTTGTTTGACCAGCATTACATTCAAAAACCTGAGAAAAACTAAAGAAAATAGTTGATTTAATTCTATTCTGCTATTGAGTTTTCCAAGAAGAAAATTGGGTTTTAGTTATACTGAAAATTGTAAAGAGGATGCTTTTTCAACACTCTCACACAGTCCTATACAACCGCCGTAAATCACCGTTTGCGTATTTGCATCGTAAACGGCCGTAACTATAACGTAAATAACTGCACCGTGACCGTTTACGGCCGTTAACGGTCAGTTAGAATATTTAGATGTTAGTTAACTAAATCAGCCACGCATCACTGTCAAGGCCATACCTTTGGTCGACTCTGAACGAACCCCATTTCGTCGTCAACCGATGAAAGCCAGGTTTTTGTTTTCTTCAAGTTCTCCTAACCTTTACTCTCATTTACATGACAAAAGTCGTTCGCACCAAGTTACATTGCATGGACCACTATTTGTCTGTCTCTTACTCACCATTCATCACTGTTTTCCATTCGACAACAAGAACGATCAGCTCGATCCATTTGAAGTCGATCTTGATTTTGATATACGTTCACGTCTTCCTCAATCTTTGTTAACTCCTACTACAGTCGGTTACTGTATCAACATGTGTGCAGTTAAGCTCGACCGATGACTCTCACTTCTCTCTACTTCATTCTGGTCACTTGCACACCAATGTGTAGCGATTATCCAAAAAGCACTAACAAGTGGTGAGATTCGACTCATAACGCATGTCTTCGCTGATGTCATTGGAAATGAACGGCTATTTCACAAATTCAGTCAACTCTTTTCTGAAGGCCGAGTGTCTCAAATCAACTTTTCTAATATTGGTAAATATCCATTTGCATGCGACTACAATCATGGTCAAGTACGATTACGTGATTTACATGTTAGCAACAGTCCTGGCATCTATCATCCGTCGGCTATTCTGTTAGTCACCGGTGTAGGCGATGGTCAGCTGGACATTTCGTTTGGACACGAAATGGAGAGTGATGAAAAAACATCAGAATTTCTTGACTACCTATGAGACTGCTGGTGGTCCTTAAAGATTTTCAATCGGACGTTATTTGGCTGCATCTGAAACGCTATAACTACTTGTCAAACCATCGACAAATTCTAGTAGTGTTCCTCCTCTCTGTTTGTTGTGTTGTGCTTTGTTTCGTAGTGGTATGTACGCACAGGTCGATGACTCATTCAATGACATAATGACTAAGATGGCCTTGTAGTGTTTTCCTTTTAACCTCTTGAATGCCGTTATTTTTCCTCTTACGCATCCAAAGGCATTCATATGTCAATAACATTATTACTAAATGGTACAGATTCATATTTATTAACAAGTACTTTTTTCTTGCTTTTGTTATATCAATGGATTTATCTAATGTATGAGCAAAATGTAGAGAAGAATTTTGTTTTGAATATAGCTGGAGCATTAGTGTTTCTGACTGTCAAAATATGATGAATTCAGGTCGAATATGACCGGATTTCATCAAATTCCATAGTCTGAAATTTAATTGGATTCGATGGATATTACATCTAAAGTGAAAATTTTACGTATACGATTCTTGGTTTGTCAAAGGGTATATGTTGTGAAACTTGTATTAGTTAATGGAATACCAATGTTCACATCTGGTTCATATTGTGTCACTTTGAATGTTAATATACCACCTTCAATTCTAATTGAAGAAGTAGAACATCTTACTGCTATATAGTAAAATTTTTCACTTTAGATGTAATATCCATCGAATCCAATTAAATTCCAGACAATGGAATTTGATGAAATCCGGTCATATTCGACCTGAATTCATCATATTTTGACAGTCAGAAACACTAATGCTCCAGCTATATTCAAAACAAAATTCTTCTCTACATTTCTCTCATACACTAAAAAGGAAATAACACTGATTTGCTGAGAACCATTTTCTCTGATTCACTACTTTGACTTCACCGAACTTATAAAAGTTCAAAATTATATGTCAGCTACACAAAAGTTGTATTCTGATATACGTAACAGTGTCGCAAAACAACTCAAGGGATGAGTTGTTGTCATCCAACTGTAGTGCCTTGTGGTTATTTCTCCAAATTTCTATCCGCTCGTAATTGCAGTTGTTTGACTGATGCGCTTGTACTAATTTTACAAAAGAACGAGTGAAAAATTGACAACCTTCGAGATCCACGGTTTTTCAATGAATAACTGGTTACCGGTGCTCCACCGATGCTCTGATATCCGCATGAACCGGTGTGTACCATGTATAAAACCAAATCATACGCGGTTATCCGTGCGGTTTAGTGGGTATACGTTCGTACCTGGGTTGCTCTTCGTTTAATTTAGAACTGTTCTGGAACAATCGCTCATATTTATCTGTCATACATTTGTATTGTTTCTTTATGCATTAGAAGTTAGCATCTAGGATAATAATAGTTTAGCAAGACTTGGTGACGATATATATCTTTGATCATCACTTTGAAAACTGAACCCGAGTGTTTTATATTAAAGTTGTCCTACAATATGCTTAGAAAAATATTTCGAAAGACACGTAAACAATTTTTCTCTGTCAATTTGTACTAAGCAGTTGATCTCAGGAGGGCTAATCATATTGCAAAGCTCATAAAACAGCCACGAATCTACACACTCACAGTGGCATCGATTCCTCGGAACGTAACCGTACTGTAAAAAAAGAACTCGAATTTCTCAATCGGTCCCATTACGATTGAAAATGATTGAAAAACCAGTTCGATCAGGCTGAAATGTTTACGAGAAATATGTAAGTATAACCTTGAGGAGTTTTTTTTTAATCTTTTTCTTATCGAGTTATAGGAAAAATACTGAAAAAACCTTTTTTTTCTTCTAGATGCAAATTTGCCGTTTTGGCTGAAGATTTGAACCTATCTGCTTGATGGCTTCTAGCGTCCGACATTTCCAGTACACCACCAGAAGCAATTCTGAAAACAGTGCAATGCATTATCCAGATCCTCATGTTGTAAGTAATTATATGCGTATATTTTTATATACATCTGTCACATGAAGTTTATAGGCAATTACTGTTATCGTGTCATTGTCTGTCATCAAATGATCAACCTTGTGATTATTGCAGCCTGAAACGATGTTTCGAAATGGGAATGACAAAAGAAACGATTATGCAAGAAATCAGTAAACGATTAGCAAAACATAGAATGAAAGAAAAAGAAGGGAAAGATAAAGAAACCACCACTACGGTAGCAGTACCAAGCACGAGCGAGTCCGAGCCCAGTCCGCTTCCGGCAATCTTTTAGATTCTTTTTTGATGAGTGTGATTTATTTCTCTTTTCTAGTTTACTGAGCCTGGATAGACATTTAATTTTTCGAAAATAAGGTTACTTAGCATGTCCGTCTCCCGAACAAAATTTTCAATTTCTTGTGAAACAGAAGGTGTTGTCATTTCGCCTTTCATTTTTCTCTGTTCATTTGCGTTAAAAGTTGAGTAGATGGGACTCGAAATACAAAAAGTCAGGTCTGAGTCCGAGTCCTTCAGAAAAATCTCCGGTGTGAATCCGCCAAAAACTCTTCCAGTCCCGGCTCGGGCTCGTCCATGTCTGAGCTCTACAGGGCGCTGTTATGGGCACATATTAAAGAAGTGCCATTAGAGAGAATTGTATGATACGTATCATACATATATATATATTCGTTCTCTTTCTTGCCGTCAGGAATTTCCCCAGTTTTATTTCTTATTGTCTACTATGTGTATCCTTTTTCGTCTTCTCTCTTTCCATCAGGATTTTCCCCAGTGTTCGTTCTTGGTTTCTTTATTTTCTGTGATCTTTTACATGTATCCCCATTACAGTTCTTTTTTTGTAACGTATTTCTTTTCCGGTCAGCTTCGGAACCGGTAATCTAGCTAATAAACAACAACATTTTTATGTGACGATGCATTAATTTGGTACATCAAGAGGAAGAACGATATTAAAACATGGGCGAAATTTGAGGATGAAGTACAAAAGCAATATTCAATGGAAGAAAACCAACACAGTCAAGATGCAGATGGTCAAAGAAAATGTCAACCACATGTTTATCATCAACAACATTACAATGAACGTATGATCAGTATTCAACGGAGTCGCTAGTCACTGAAGAAACAGCCACAATAATAGCAATAGACTAAGAAGAATTAGAATGGTCAGAACAAGGTGAAACGTGGATTGATTATGTGGTAAAACAACAACGTGAACAATTTCACAAAACAAGATCAAACGAGTATGATGTATTATACGAGATGCTTAATAGTGGTCCGCAACTAGCCATTACATTAGAAGAAGAAGGTAAAGAATTAATCGTCGTCAACAAGTACAATTACCAAACGACGTTATCAGGACGATGAATAAAGATCGTACATTGTTATTATCCAAATTATATAATATAAGGAAACAATTACGCGTAAAAATGGAATCAAAACCATGGTCATCATCGTCGAGATCAGTAAGTAGTGGTCTATCACCGATTCAATCAACATCGTTTTGCAATGCTACAACTGGTGAACACACATTATTAGCAACCATTATTAGTGATATTTGCCAATTAGTCAATGGTGGTGCTCGTAGGATTATCCAATACCTTAAAATATTTGAGGATTGGAATTGGTTTTTGGCCATATCTGATGTCTTGAGCACTTGAATAGACTGAAATGGAAACGTCGATTCAATAATAATGGTAGTGGCAGTACCACAACATTAAATAGCAATAGTATGACATTGGTTTTTTTTCAAGGTGAACGTGGAAGTTCATCTTGTTTTTTATGGGGGAGGTGTTATGGCACATATTAAAGAAGTGCCATAAGAGAGAATTGTATGATACGTATCATACATATATATATATTCGTTCTCTTTCTTGCCGTCAGGAATTTCCCCAGTTTTATTTCTTATTGTCTACTATGTGTATCCTTTTTCGTCTTCTTTCTTTCTATCAGGATTTTCCCCAGTGTTAGTTCTTGGTTTCTTTATTTTCTGTGATCTTTTACATGTATCCCCAGTTTCCCAGGGTATTTTATCAACTCTAGAATATTCCGCTTTTCGTGTAAACTTAGCTGTAAATATACGCTATTTTTGTGCAAAAGAGATCATCTTCAGTAACTAAATAAACTACTTATACACAACAACACATACCGGACCTAACAGGCGCTTCATACTATAAATCAGATTCTGCTGTAATCCAAGGATCCAAAAAGATCTCCAGAGGACTCCCTGTAAGCATCTGGTTACACTAGCAGGGAAAAAATACTGTTCCTTTTCTTACGACTGTGCAAACTACCGCCGTACTTTTGTTATGTCAACTGAATGTAATAATCCAAAATAATAAACATTCACACCATCTATACGGACAAAAGGAGGATAGAGGAAAAAGAAAATGACACTGCTGTATATGCGTACTAAGAAATACAAGCAAACAAACATATCATAAGCACCAGGTGGCCGATCGGCGAGGATCCTCGCGACGAAGAATGTTTCATACTACTACTATTTTAATATTAAACGTGATGGTTCCTCAACCAAGATGAAACATTACATAGCTAGCTTCTGTTTTATAATAATTTGCACCTAAATTCAGTTCTTACTTTATTTTATTTTATTTAATTAATGAATTTTTTTTCTGAACTTTCGAATCACCGATTCAGCATCAGAGCTACAATGTTAAAATTTAACACAGTTAAAACTACACAATCAATAAGACTAAGGACGTTATTCTATAAATATATATACAAATGTACGTGATACAGAATACAGAAGAAATGTAGAACTACATAGAGACAAAGAGAAAGAAGAGGAGAAGAAGAAAAAAGGAATGTAAACATTACACGAAGAATAGTTGACTATACATACCTTTTATATTTAACATTTTAGAATGATTTTCTTTTCTTTTTCACACGAGGCCAATGACTGAAAGAAAGAGAACCACTGTGAGCATCGTTTAAGAGACATCCCAACTTCTGCAACGGTTTGACTAACTTCTACCAGTTAACTTAAGAGCCATTACACGTAAGCCACGACCTATTACAACGGAATAGTCTTCAATCGATGTTCTGAAAACTTTTTCAAACTAGGGGGCTCTTTTAGACCAAACATTTTAATGAATTTTGGTGAAAAGCGGAAATCAAGAAGTTGTATTGTTGCTGAGATATTGAAAATTTACGAAACGCCTCCGAAAACGTGAATTCCGCCATCTTGAAAATTTGTCAAGTTTAAACTCTTCTAACTCAGTAACAACAGATTACTTGACCTTGACGATTTTACCATAAGTAGTAGATAGTATCTACTACAAAACCACGCAACGGCGAGCTCAAAATATGCTTTCGTTATTTTGTAATAGATGACGCACTAAGAGGCCAAATCCAGAAAACCTTGAATTTTCCTGTACCACCCATTTGAAACGAAGTCGACCGTGAGACTTTCAATCGTATTTTCAAATAGATTATATGTCAGAGCATATTTGGTAAAAATTTGGTGGGCTCAGAAGCTTTCGTTATCAATACAGACGATTTGAAAGTTGCAATTTTGCCGAAAAATGACCATTTTGGACGATTTTGAGGAATTCTTTTCTCCATGGAAACGGGGCCATTCTGAAGCCCCCTAGTATACTCTTGGAGTACATCAGGTGTACTATCATAGTCCATACGGCGATTTGTGGGTTTCGCTAAAATGGCTTCGGAGGCACCGAGCTTTTGAGGCTTACTTCAGTCAGTGTTTTTTTTGTGCTATAATATATTAAAGATTCATAAAAAAACAGTTTGATATGCAACTTTTCACAAGGAATTTAGTGGTAATACAACAACAAGTTAATTCTGGTATTAATATGATTTAATTTATTGTAACTGTAAAAGAGCACATACTATGATAAGTTTGTATAAAGGATATTGAATTATGGAGAGAAAAGCGATTCCAGTATACCTTTTGGACCGCTACATTAGAAAATTAGGTACTTTTGCCGCGCTGCACCAAATTAGATAAAAATTGGGTGCTGGCTGCAAAATTTTTCGGCGAATCGGGCGGGTTCCTTTTAATTCTATTTTGACTTTTTTTCCGGCGTCGACATAATCTACGTGGTTTTTGTCTAAATTTTTTTTTTCTCATTGGTGAGGGGATTAACCACGTAGATTATGTCGACACCGGAAAAGAAGTCAAAAAAGAATTAAAAGGCACCCGCTGTCCCGATTCGCCGAAAAATTTTGCAGCCAGCACCAATTTTTATCTAATTTGGTGCAGCGCGGCAAAAGTACCTAATTTTCTAATGTGGATCTTCTGTAGCAAGTAGTACCACAGGAGACGATATGAGTGAATGTCTGAAGTTTACGAATGATCAAGATCGAGTACGTGATTCAGAAAGTCGCATGTCAATAGATACTCCACATGAAAGTTCGAGTAGCACTACCAACATAACACCTGTGAGGCATGCCGACGTTTACATGTGTACACAACAGGATCCAACGACAGGAGACACGTGGAGCGAATACGTTCAACCATATGATTATCACAGTATCCCCAAAACGTTTTTGAACAAGAAACGATGGATACCTGACATACACCAGATTCATATTTTTATTTTACTCCTCCACAAAGGTATTTTTGTTCGGATGATGAAGATGATTCAAATAATCCAAAAATATTAGGTATTATAAAGTTTACTTTTTTTCAGTCCTGAAACTTTTTGTTATCTTTGGAGAACATGATCGTGCTGGCGGTAATGAGATAAATCCTACGACAGAAGATAAATTACCTTCAAGTTCATCTCAAGTAAGTTTACCTCCCACGACCCATTAATATGTACCATATAAAAATATAGATATCGAAAGTAATATGAAAATAATAATTTCATTTGCGGATAGCATTGGTTCTCGTTTATCTGCTTCAGTCAAATCATCTCAGTAAGTTGTTGAGGAATTCCTTGACACAATTTGTAATGTGAAATCGTTACTTCGGCTTTTAGGCGTGCCGATAGAAAATACAACAATATCCGTCTACCGAACTGTTTGAAACCGAGGAAGAACTGAATATTCACATAGCTTCGAATCTTCATACAAAGATGGATACAAAGCGTTCATTGAATGATACCGCTAGATTACGGCTTATTGATACACCGAAAACAAGTCTTATGTTGAGTCAAACAAAACATTCTGCCATTTTAAATCAACAACAAGAAACATTAAGAGACAAAAACTCGTCGCATTACGCGCAAGTTTCTGCATCTGGCTGGGCTTTAAGGACCAGAAAACAAACCGCAAGAATCAAAGATAATGTGAAAAATTTTATCGAACAAATATGGCTAAAGGGAAAAATAACAGGGCGTAAAGTCACACCCGAATTAGTCGTGCAACGAATACGAACAGAAAGAAAATTCAACAATGACAAATTGTTTGAACCGTCTGAGTATATAACCGCCAATCAAGTAAAATATCAACTTAGAAAGTTCAACAAAAAGTATGAAATTGAAACACAACAAGAATTCATTGATGAATTAGTATAAAGGAGCACAGCTACAGTGAATGATGAAACGGATGATCAGAGCAACAGCTGAATGTCATAATAGTTAATTGTCAATTAATTACTAATGATTATATATAATTTATCGCTAAATAATGATTTTTAATCTAAAGAAAAAATGCGTCGCCTTTAACAATCTAACCATTGTTAGGCTCACTTTTTAAACTATTCATTTTAAAACTATTGCGAAAGTGACAAAAATTGCTTATTAATCAGTTTTATACTGCTTCTGTATGGTGTTAGTAGTAATTATGATTCGAGCTACCTTATTAACTAAAATATTAGCTGAAATTAATCAAATGCCCCCTTTGAATAACATGTTTACTTAGTTGCTAATTTAGGTTTAAATTCAGCTGGTGCTCCGTTAGAATTATCTGATGAATTATTTTCAATGCTTTCTTAGTAGTTGTGCTTGAACTTTGCCGTGAATTTTTGCATAATCGAATCTTTATTCTTAATAGTTAGTAGTCAGAGAAGGTAGATTAGAGGTTATTTTCATTACGACTTTAAAAACGTCTTTTTCGTACTCATTTTTATATGGTACATATTAATGGGTCGTGGGAGGTAAACTTACTTGAGATGAACTTGAAGGTAATTT